GAACTTTTTTTTGTTCTGTTGCATTTGTTCTAAATTTTTTGGAATATTTTGTGGATTTGGCTTTTATCTTAGAAAAAAATTTAAAATATGTATTACCAACTTTTAAGAGGCCACAGTACTGTTTGAAGCAGTGTGGAGTCGGGCTCTTCGCTCAACACCGGAATGTGGGCTTCACTACGTGCTGTTCACCTTCTGCAGCTCCCAGGAGTTTAAGCCTTGGCAGGGGTTTTGCTGTTTGTGGGGTTGAATTGAATCTCTTACCTTTTGGCAGAGCAGGATGAGATTTGAGAAGGAGCACGGATCAGGCTTACACTGTTGACATTCAGAGCACATAGTTATGGGAGGTTTTTTCTTCCTCCCCAGGCCCGGCAGCTCATCCTGCAGTACGGCTTGCCCCTCAGCGACCTGGACCGACACCCAGAGGTGAGATCGAGAGACCACTATGCCTTTCTCCTTTTGTGGCTGTCGCTTGTTCCTGAGTTCCAGGTACCCTGGCAGGTCTAGGGATATGACCAGTGAGTCTTACTAACTTTCCTCCTGGGATCCCAGGTATTCTGGCCAAGGTCTGAAGTAGAGAGGCTTCCGTGTCACTGTAAGTTGGCCCTGAGGGCTCTGCATGAGTGTGGTGAAGGGGATGGAGAAGCCTAGCACTGGTCCAGGGCTTGCTTTCTCATGCAGGGAGGCTGGGGAGCGAATCCCTTGAGTGGAGAGGAGGTTGCTGTGCACCTTTGGAAAGTAAGTGTTGCAGGAAAGGCTGTTAAATACAGGGGCAGCTGGAAAGCACCGCACAGCTCCTTGCTAGTGGTTCTGGGCTGTTACTGTATATCAGGCATTGTGTGCAGTGCTCTTATACTAAGATGTTGAACCCCCGCAGCCTAGCGGGTGGGTGCCGTAACTATCCCATTTTAAGGGTGTACAAAAGGCACAGTCATTTGTTTAAGGCCGTGATGTAAGTGGCAGAGCCACATTTAGAATCCTTGCCCCTTTGGCTCAGGGCAGTGTTAGAAGAATTTTGAGGGAAGAGTAGTTTGAGCTGAACCATAACTGCTCTGGGGCAGTGGCAGGAGAGGACTTTCCTGAGAGGGAGATAGGGACTTGGGGTTTGTGGGCTCTGTGAGCAGCGCCCAGAGTTTCTGGGGTGATTTGGGCCAGTGAGTGGAGTGCAGTGGTGCATAGTGGGCCAGGAGACTGGGGATTGGGTGTGGTCTAACATGTGTCTCCGTGGTACATGGGCCTCAGGGTTAGTGGGAGCCATGGGATGGGCTTATAGGGGGTCTCTGGGCAGAGCTGGGGCTCAGGCTCATCCAGCTGTTCTGCAGCTGTGAGGGGTATGCTTTGGGCTGCAGGTGGGCCCCCAGCCAGGCAGAAGAGGAGGCAGCGCCTTGCAGGCCCTGGAGTATAGCTGCGCCTGAGAACGGTTAGCGGAGGGCAGGGAGGAGCAGTAGAAGCAGTACAGGCTGCAGCTTCGGGATGGGAGCAGCGGTGCCCTGCGAGAAGCTGTCTAGGCCACACCAGCCACAGCATGTGACTGCAGTGTGAATAGGGTGTTTCTTACCTAGTGATCTTTAAAAAACCTGGAACTTTCCATGTCCATACAGAGTTCAGTGAGGAATCAGGAAGCCAGCCTCCTTGATTCTGATTTTTGAAAGATGAACGAATCCATTTACCCTTCACTGCTTTTGGCGCTGGCAGTGGAGCCTCCTCGCAGAGGGACAGGGCAAGATCAGGCGGTTGCTTTGCTGGGGTCGTAGTGGGAACGCCTCAGGTGGTTTCTAATTCAGGAGTGTACCGTGTGTGTCGGCTTCTTTAGGCTCCATTTCATCTTCTTGTCCACTTGAAATGACCTGTGTTTGCCCACTTCGTGTCAACCTCTGAGTCCATGTTTCTCTGTTTTCATTATTGACACCCCTCATGGGATTTAATACCAAGGACGCACAGTTGTCTCTTTCGAGGGCTGAGCATCAGTGTCCAGGGGGTTCTTTGCCCTCACTCCCAGCCCCAGGCAGATTCTGTTCCTTTGGGAGTGACACCACCTGCATTGGGAATGCCTGCCCTTGCAGTTTTAGTCTCAAAGCTTGGGCCCCTTTCCATGTGACCCTCGTGAAGTACCCAGACCTTGGAGCCTCAGACCTTTGATTGGTCAGGTGAAACTGGACCTCCCTAATAGGGTTGCAAGGACGCCAGAGCTGTCACTGCCTGGCCAGACTCAGCAGAGGCCCCACTCCTGTGTTGCTCAGTGTCCTTTCTCCCAACACAGATAGACCTTGCCATCGACGGTGCTGATGAAGTGGATGCTGACCTCAACCTTATCAAGGGTGGTGGGTGAGTGTTGTGGGAACTTTATTTCTTTTGTTTTTTGGTACTGGGAATCGAACTCAGGACCTTGCACTTGCCAGGCATGCGCTGAGCTATGTCCGTGACCCAGGAACTTTATGTTTAACTACTTCAGTGTACCCATAGTAAAGCAGATGGGCCACATAATTCCCACAATGTCACTGGCTTGAGAGTTTGGTTTTCTACTTGAACCTTATGACATTTCTGGTGAGCAGTGTCAGTCTGGGACTGGGAGCCTTGGCATCGTCTGTGAGATTGTTGCAACTTCTGTGTCGCATTCTGCTGCTGACTCAGTTTAATCTCTCCAGGGTGGGCCGGAATATTGTCTGTCAGCCGGATTGTTAGGCCTGTGGGCCTTGCATTGCGACCTTTGCCCTGGAGCTGCTCTTACATCTGTGAGCATTTGGGGTGTGATGCATTCATTTGGAAGGCTTTTATTGGTGTTCCTTATGTGCTAGTTTCAGGAGTAGGGACTGGTGAGTGGAGAAGGTATAATCCTGACTTGCTGGTTCTTAGCAGTCAGATAAGCTTTAGTACAGAATGACAGTGTTTAGAGTCACTCTTTGTCATCCGAGACTTTCAGGCCTTCTGTAATCCTCCTGGCTCAGATGTGAGGTAAGGTGGCCGAGGAGCAATAGAGATTGGCTAGATGGGATCTGACGACTCAGTGCCAGGCTCTCTGAGCTCCATCACCGGGTCACACAGTCCCCAGGGCAGGCAATCCCCAGGGCAGGCTGTGCAAAGCTGGCCCTTACCAGGCCATGGCTGGGGACGCTTTCGCAAACAATGCTTCTTACATGTGGCTTGGAGGCGGAGGGGCTGTGCCTGGCCTGAGAGGGCCACATGATCTGCTTTCTAGGTTTCCTCTAGACACAGACCAGTGTTTCCGCAGTCCGTGTACGAGAAGCAGCGTAGATGGCTGCTGCAGTTATAGTTCTCTGAGCAGGATGGAGCAGATTGGGTGCTCCTGCGTCTGAGCTTGGTTCCCACATTGAAATTTTTGCCTCAGTCCTCTGTTCACGTGCTCCTTTCCCACCTTTAGGGGCTGCCTGACCCAGGAGAAGATTGTGGCCGGCTATGCCAGCCACTTCATCGTGATCGCTGACTTCAGGTGGGCTGGGTGTCAGGACTGCATGTGGAGAAAGTGGCTTGGGGCCCCCCCTTACACTGTACAGAGAGGAGAAAATGAGGGACCGCCCTGCTTCCTGAGGCTGGTGGCCAGGAGTTAGATAGTGTCTTTGCGAGTGCAGACCTGCCTCCGTGCTGAAGGTGGGCCCCCAGGTGTGTTCGCAGGGAGGGAGAGGAAGCAGCTGGTCACCTGTTAGCAGAGCTCCTACTGTGTCACTGACTAGGTCTTCCCAGGAAGCCTGCGAGGCAGCAGGGTGTCCCTGCCTGACTGAGGCAGTGTCTCAGTGCCCGCTGCCTCTGGGGTCGGGCTCCACATGCGATTCCTACTGGGGACAGCCTGGCTGGCTCTCAGGGCTCCTTCATGGAGTCTGGGAAGAGGCCTTGGGCTGAGCGTGTCAACTAAATGGAAGTGTGTGTATGTGTTCATTTATGAAATATAGCTGTAGCGAGAACACAGGTAGTAAGTAAACACCTGTACTTGTAAAGTACATTAAAACATACTTATAATAAGCCAACCATGTCAAATTTTAATATCAAGTATCTCTTAAGTAGGAAAGCAGCCAGTGCTTTGAAGCCCTGTGCACCGTGCCCGGATCGCTTGTTTTGTCCTCCCACCGTCTAACTCCTTCCTGGAGTATAGTGTTAAGCTCATAGAATTTTATTTTGTCTTTTGACTTTTTTTTCCAGGAAAAATTCAAAGAACCTTGGGGATCAGTGGCATAAGGGAATCCCTCTTGAGGTCATCCCGATGGCCTACGTCCCAGTGAGCCGAGCTGTGACCCGGAAGTTTGGGGGTGAAGTTGAGCTTCGGATGGCCGTCAACAAGGCAGTAAGTGGCTGGGCTGGGAGGTTTTCAAAGGTCTCTCAGATTCCTTTCTGCTCCTGGTAGACCTCTGGAGTCTTCCCAAATGTTTGTTTTTACACAGCTGGCTTTTTAAAAATAATGTATTGTCTCAGTACACAGCTAGGACTCATGGTGATCCTCCTGTTTTTAGCCTCCCCAGCACTGGGATTATAGGCGTGTGCCACCTTACCCAGTGTTGGGGGCCGGCTCAGTGCACTCAGGGATTGGGCCAGCACAGCCTGTGTGCTAGGGATTGAACCCCAGTCCCTGCACTTGCCTAGACAGGCGCTTAGTCTGCTGAGCTATTTCGCCGGCCCATGTTTATGTATTCAACCTAGTGTAGGGTAAGACCACGCATTACACAGTGCCTGTCCCCTGTGCTTGTCTTGTGCCTCAGCATCAAACCTTGTTCAAGTGACCTGATCTTTGTGCCTAGGGCCTGGGCCACCTGATGAGCAGCTTCCAACTCCTAATTTTATAGTTTTCATGTGCTATACTCATCCATGCATGTAATGCATTTGATCACATCCATCCCCTTCGCCCCTGACACCGCCCGCCCTGTGTTCCCTTCCTCTTGCCCTGTGATGGTCTCCTCTTGACTTCCTGTCATCCTTCTCGGAGTCCACACAATCCCTGTCTTGATGGACTTCCTGATCAGGGTGAAGCTGTGCTAGGTGAAGCAGCACTATCCTAGTTTATGGGTTTTTTTTTTTTTTTAATTAATTTATGTTTTGATGATACTTATTAATATGAGGTTTTGAGGGCATTGTGCCGTATTGGAAATTGGTTCTGTTGTAATTTCTCGCTGTAATAGTAGCTCAGAGCCCTGACTGTGGGCCTTCGCTGTGGTTAACACTTACTTGCTTTCACATGTAGGCTATTTTGTGACGTAGGCACTGTTGTCCCCCTTTTGCAGTTGAGACCTGTGAGGCTCACAGAAGGTGACAGTACCTCTGAATTCCATACCTATGTGGCATTAAGACTTGAAGCCGAGTCTGCGGCTCTGAGGCCCCTGCTCATTGCTGCCTCACCCACCTTCTAGGCAGGGCATAGTGGGAGTGCTCATCGGAGCCTGCTGGTCTGGATATCACCTTCACGTCCTGTCTTTCTTTGCCTGCCCATGTCTCCATCCTTGGTCAGTGTGGAAAATTATCTTCCAGGGTCCTGTGGTGACAGACAATGGGAATTTCATCCTGGACTGGAAGTTCGACCGGGTGCACAAATGGAATGAAGTGAACACAGCTATCAAGATGATCCCAGGTAACAGGAGGCCAGTGATGTTGGCTTTGTAAGACTTGGTTGGAAAGGAGAACTGCATACCATGTTCAGGATTTTTTTTTTTTTTTTTTTAATGTATTTGATTGTTACAGGGTTTCAGTACACAGCTCAGGCTCATAGTGATCCTCGTGTTCTCAGCCTCCCACAGCGGTGGGATTACAGGCATGTGCCACTACACCGGAACTCTGTGACCCACTCAGGCTGCCCTGTGGGCAGGGCTGGTGCCCCATGTGGTGCGGTTGATTGAATCTCAGTCCTTGCACTTGCCTAAGCAGGCACTTTAGTCCTCTGAGCTCTCTTTCCAGCCCCCAAGTTCGGGATTTAACTCACCCTCTTCTATGTACCATCTTTGGTGTGTATCTTTCACAGCCTGTTGGATCTGGGTCAGTCCTGGAGCGGGTAGAAGTCCGAGAGGGCGTGCCTTGACGTAAGGTTGCCACCATCTCTGGGAAGGGCCTTTCCTTCCAGTAGCTGGACTGCAGCCTCTTGATCTTTGTGGGCCTCTTCTTAAGAGTGGGGGAGCATGATTCCGTTTACCTGCATCCATTGGCTGCACACAGGCCCCACGCTGAGGCCCAGTTTGGAGGATGACCTGATCTGTAGCACATGGAGTCTATCCCCAGGGAGCGCTGATGTACCCTGGGAAAACTGTGTGGCAGGGTGGAAGCCATGCCTGCTAATAAGCTGGAGGGTGCTGTTGGAGAAGCACCAGGTGTTTAGAATACACAGTTTGCTTCTTTTGGAAAGTGTAACAGAGGTCTGTGGGATGGAAGTGGTTCTTGATGGGGGCCTTAGCATAGCACTGTCATCTGATTATAGTCTAAATACTAGGCTGAGTGTTTCAGAAGGCTTGTTTAGTCCCATGTGGATGAGTCCTGGCCCGAGAAGAGTTCAGTAAGTTGCCCAAGGCTGCCCTTGAGGCTGGGAGCCCTAGGTTGTCCACCCTGGACCCTGAACTTCAGTGGGCGCTTGCTGAGGGAGAGGCTGTGTGGTGTGAGCTGGGTATAGGGAGGGAGCAGGCCCGTGAAGGCCGGACGGGTGGAGCAGAGATGAGTATTGAGGGCTTCAGTGCGGTCACAAGGAGAAGCAGGTTGAAGAGGTGCCATCTCATGCTGTGGGACAACAGTGTCATTGAGCTGGCCATTGAGGCAGGTAGGATC